GTCCGTAGACGGTGCGACGCGGGGTTGACGGCTCGTTGCCCTAGATGATGGTGTCCCATGGATCGCAACGCGGGGGGTTGTCAGGAGGAGGTGGTGCGAGTGGAACGTGGCGCGGGGGACGGCCAAGAGGAACGATTGTAGGTGTTGCCTCTGTTTCCTCAGTTTCGTCCTCTCCCCCCTTTCGTTCTTCACGGAAAGTACCCCAGCCGCTATTGTCGGCGCTAGTTGCGGCGCCCCATCCGCCGCTCGCGTTGGCCCAGGTTCCGCCGGTGTCTCCCCAGCCGCCAGTGTCACTTGTTCCCCATCCTCCAGCGCTTCCCCACCCCCCTTCATTGGAGGCACTTTCTTTAGCCTCGACTCCCTATGTGGCGCAAGCAAAGGTTCCACGTGCTTCTGCGAGGCTTTGCTAGCAAAGCGCCTCAGCTTCGCGGCGCGCCAATTCTTCCTCTTGCCACACTGTGAGTTTCTTCGTTGAGTCGCGTCGATGAGAGTAGATGGCCAAAAACCTCTCGTAGGTGTAGGGTTGCGGCTCGCCATGGGCATCAAAGGTGCCGACGCCGGTTCCTCGCAGCATGCCTTGAAGGTGCTGTGAGGGGGGACCGATGAGGGGATGCTCTGGCGTGCCGAAGATGCCGTGGGTGGTAACTTAAGCTCGTGCTGCATCATCCCTTCCTCTGGGGGCGCGTGGCGCTCTACTTCAGCGATGGCGGCGAGTCCCCGGCCGGCAGTCGCGCTTGTTGATGTCGTCGGCGCGTGACAATCCCTGCGGATGCCATCTGGGTCGGGGTTGTGTAATGCCGTTTCGCGTGGGTGGGGATGATGCGGCACCCACGGTCTGCCGTCAGGGTGCTTCCAATCCTTACGGTGGATGTGCTCAAAGCGCAGTGGCACGAGATCAATCAACTCGTGCGAGTCGCCGCTGCTGTCGAGAATGTCGAAATCTAGGACATACACTCCATTTTCGGAGTGCGCACGTCCGATCTGCCTGCGGGGAAATGTGCTCGATTCGTAGTGCAGCAAGATGTCTCGTGTCTCGCGATCCGTGCTTAGGTCGACGCCGCAGTCCATGAGCTATGCGGCGGACAGGAGGTTGAAGCGCAGGTTCTGGACGATCAGCACATCGTTAAGCGTGATGTGCGTGCGGCTTCCACGTGCTTTGAGCACGACGATGCCTTGTGTGCTTGCGCGCAGGCGCGTGTTGTTCACCACAGTGACGTAAGTTACTGTAGGGGTGGGGACGGGGTTGGATATGTAACGCTCGGAGCCCACCATATGCTGGCCGCAGCAGCTGTCGAGGTACCAGGTGTTGTAGCGCTTGTTGTCGTCACGTGCGAGCAGCGCCAATCGCGGTGTGACGATGTGCGGAGTGTTGAACTTCAGAAATTGCTCGCGCGAAAGCCAATCAGGTGGCGCCACCCGCATGTCTGGTATGTGCGCGGGACTTTCAAGCAGCAGGATTGGGAGGTTCTAGTCCTGGTCGTCATCGTCGTTGTAGTCGCGGCACGGGCTGAAAGGGTTGTTGTTGATGAACGCGCCGATGGGGTGCGGTGTTGGCTCAAGTGAAGGTGAGCGAGCACGGCGACGACGTGACTCGCCTGCTATGGCCATGTTGCTCATGACGTTGCGCGTAGGGGTAGTTGATGGCTGCTGTTGCTGATGCTGAACGGTTGAGTTCAGATTGCGTGCGGGTAGGGGTTGATACCCTTGGGCTGGACGCATGTCGCCTCATACGTCTTGTCGGTCGGACCAGTTGCTCGGATTGGTCTGGCGAGGGCGAGATCGGAACTTACATCGATCGCCAAATGCCCAAACTTTCTGCAGATTTTGCAGTAGAGGCGCCGCGGTCGTCGCTCTTCGTTGTTGTCGGCGTAGAAGGCGAGCCGTTCGCGTTCTCGTCGTGGCGCTGGTCGCTGCTGATCCATATCCCGTTGTTCGACGAGAAGGGTGGCGCAAAAGGCGGCCTCCGAGATGACCCCTTGCTGTCGGAGGAGCGCCTTGCAGGGCCGCCACTCTGGGCCAAGCCCTTGAAGCACAATGTTCACGAAGATTTCATCGGAAATCGAGCTTCCCAACTTCACGATTTGATCGCGAAGGCTCCGACAGCAGTTGATGTAGCTGTTGACCTTCTCCCCTGAGGTAATCTTAGTTTCCAGTAGTTGGTGGAGTAGTCGGCTCGAGGAGACGGAGTCCTTGGGCTGATACACGCCGTTCAGGTGGCGCCAAGTGTCGAGGGTTGGGGCAGTAGATGTCTTGTATGAACGAATGTTCAGCTGCTCCGCCGGCGACATGTTACGCAGAAGAATCCCGTACGCCATCAGGGACTCGTTATAATAGTGAGTCCTTGCGTCGTCGGTGTCCTCAGCATGTCCCGAGTAGTTCCCGTCGAAATAATGATAAATCTGCGTGTTTTGCAGCAGCAGCTCCAGCTCGAAGCTCTAGGTGTAAAATTCTCTGCCGTCAAAGCACACACTTGTCTTTATTTTTTATATGCTCAAAAACATTGATTGCGCAGAGAGAATTGCTTCATCGCTGGGATAGGGAGTCTTGTGTCAGAGGTCCACTGGTGATCCCCGATTGATCTTAGGGAACGGTTACAGGCTCGTTGTCCTTGGGGGTTATGGGCGCTCTGACCCGCTACTTAAACAAGCCCTTTTGTCCCAATGGTCTAGTGGTTGGGATTTTGACATGGTATCAGAGCGAAGGTCTCGGGTTCGAATCCCAATGTGTGCACTTCGGGCATCCCAGTGCGGGGGGGGTGTCAGAGGTCCACAGGTGATCCCCGATTGATCCTAGGGAAGGGTTACAGGCTCGTTGTCCTGGGGGGTTATGGGCGCACTGACCCGCTACTTAACAAGCCCTTTTATCCCAATGGTCTAGTGGTTGGGATTCCGACATCTTGGGGGTTGAGCCGTTCGTATCTAGGGAGAAGCCTTGCGGGGCGGAGTTTTGGCCGTTTGGGGCCGGTTGAGTGGGTTGGGAAGAAGTTCCCGCATCGCCATTCCGCAATGTCTGGAGCCCTTGCTCCATGCTCGTGAGTCGCTAAAGTAGTTGTGCGAGGACGGCGAAGGGAATCGTCGTCGTTTCCTCGTTTGTCGCAGCCAGGTTGGGCTGCGCTTCAACCGTCAGATTTGTCTGACCTCCAGATCCTCCGGCCATTCTTATACGTAATCGTGTGCCGGACGCCACTTTCCGAATGTCGCAAACTTCGTAGATGGCGTTGCGAAGGATTCCTGAGTCGCTCTGATACCATGCTGCGATCAGAAGTTGATCGTGGCCTAGGGTCTACTCAGGAAGGTTCGCACGCAAAGAAGTGGTGTTGGTGGGCCCGTGACCTCAATAGCAGAGTGAATATAAATGCTTGAGATGATTAAGACATGAAAATACAACGATATAAATAAGAGTACAGGGGAATATGAATCCACCTAGCTAGCCATATACTTTAATGGGTACATTCCCTTATTAAAATACATTCCCAACAGTGTGGCGCGAACGGTTACGAAACTGTTCCCGCCGAAACCATCCTGCCTGCAGCTGCCTGATGTTGTCTGCTCCGACGGTTCAGATGCGTTCCAACCGTCTGACGCTTCGCGTTCATTCGCGATACTGCGTGCTTCTCTTAGCTGCGGTGAGGAGTGCACAGTAATGTTCAAGTATTACTATTTGTAACATGCAGTAGTGCTTTTAGTAATTATCCATGCGTTCTGGATCTGATGGAAGAATGCCTTGGCACCTAAATGGAAGTTATCATACAGGCGTTTTATTTGAGGTCTACACAAAATGATTTTCATAGGGAAACACGAGGTACACGATGGTGATATGTAGCGACCTCGATTTCTCCCCATTGACTCAATCTTCGACTCTACCGGGGGAACCCCAAAAGCAGATCTCCGGAAGCGATCTTCCCCCAACCACCATCGTTCCGTTACTCAGGGAATGTCGTCCGCAGGTTTGACTGTGGTTCAGTAGGTTTGAGCACGGCGAGAATGCTGTTTCCACTCATTACCGTTGGTGACCGGAACGCATCGTTTCGAAACCTTGCTGACGCCCCTTTCCAGGAATACAATCCATTTTCCCGTTTATACTGCCCTCCACCCTCCTGCTTCGACATTCCGCCATCTCTTCCGTCTCTTCCTGCTGAACCTACTCTGCATCTGCAGCGGCTCCGCCACTGCTGTTCCTCCTGCTTCCCTCGCATCCCTAGGTTGGCAAGTTAGTAGATCCTAGATCTGTGGTCACCATCTCCTTGGTCGATTACTGAGTAGGTGGTCGTTGGTTTCCCGCTTGACGGACGCCTAATTTGTCGCGATGGATTCCCATCGCGTACTTGCGCTTCTTGCGATCGCGTTGTTTCTGCAGTGTTGTGCAGCTACAGAATACACTCACAAGGTGAGATGAGGTGTAGATCGAATAACGCGATCTGATCAAGACGGAATTCAGAACGTCGCATTCTAAGGACCTTCTAGATCACCAGAATCGATTGATGTAAGCTTGACCGTACGATTTGGATCTTATTATTTGCAGTACACGGTCGGAGATCCAGTAAGGCTTTGGGTGAACAAGGTCGGTCCGTACAACAATCCGCAAGAAACGTACAACTACTATGAGCTGCCATTCTGCAAGCCTCAAGCTTCGAAGCGTGCCGAGCATAAATGGGGTGGCTTGGGAGAGGTGCTTCAGGGAAACGAGCTTATTGACTCACAGATGGAGTTCAAGTTCCGAAGTACGCCAGTCAGCTTACTGCTTCTATATCATGCTAGTGATTTTTTTTCCGACGTACTAATGGGGGATTTTCTGTTCGCCAGTGGACATGCCGAAGCGGACCATTTGTTCGGACACTCTGAAAGAGGATACCGCAAAGAAGTTTAAGTATTCTATTGAGAACCACTATTGGTACGAGCTCTTCATGGGTAAGTTAACGTCTCCAGAAGTTGATTTCAGTTCCGTTCTTCCGTTTCTCAAGCCGCTTGTTCGTAACCTAATTTTGATATCGTTGTTCCGTTATGTTTGTTTTCGTTCCGGTTTCTGTGCTGGTGCAGATGACCTGCCGATCTGGGGTAAGTTTTTCTTAACAATCAGCACATTCTTTGAATGCTGCATAATGACATAAATTTCATTGCCTGACGGATGCGGATTCTTTCTGTGAAATCAGGATTTGTTGGAGAATCGGTCCCTCCTGCTACTGAGAAGGCCGACGGTGCGTCGACAGCGGAAGAGCAGATTTTTATCTACACCCACAAGAGCTTCGACATTAACTACAATGGCGATCAAGTACGAGTTTCGCCATTATTTCGCCATTGTCAAATCCTACCAATTTCGCCATAATTCATCACTGTCATCATATCATGCAAAGCCTCGTGAGGTGTTCGTTTCACGTCTGAAATCGAGAGTAATCCGATAACCCGAGCGTCATCCCGTGCATTATTTTAGCATATTCGATTTCACAAATCTGTAATATCGCGCATGGCAGATCATTCAAGTGAACCTGACGTCGGAGTCGCCTCGTCCGGTGACACCCGGAACGAACTTGGAGTTCACGTACTCCGTCAAGTGGGAGCAGACGGACATTCCTTTCCGCAAGCGCTTTGACCGCTACCTGGACTACAACTTCTTCGAGCACCAGGTGCGGATTCTTGCTCCTTTGTTGACGATCTTTGCGTGAGCGGTCTGTCGTCGCTTTTCGCCACGCGTCCTTTGTTCGATGTTTCCTCCCTCTCCAGATTGGTTATTCCCCCACTTCTCTCCAACCTCACCCCCCCCCCCCCTCCCCCTTTTCCCCCCACCTCCCCCTCCCCCCTTTCACCCCCTTTTCCCCTTTCCCCCTCCTCCTTCCCCAATCCGTTCTCCCCCTTGATTCCTACGCGTCTTTTTCCCGTTCGCCTCCATCTCTTCTCCCTGTCGTAGAGCAGTCTACTGCAATCTCACCTTTCGTCCGACCTGATAACCCGTCGCATTCTGACCTCCTGTTATGACGCCATGTATCATAACGTTCCCTTCCGTCTTGTTCTGCCTTCTTCTCCGTCTATTTTTTCCGCCTTTCCCTCTTCCCCCCCTCCTCTCCCCACCCGACGCCGCCCTCCCGCTATCATCCTGCCTTCCCCTTAACCTTCCCCGTTTTCCTCCCCACCCTCAAACAACCCCTTCTTCTCTTCTCCCCCCCCCCCCCCCCCCCCCCCACCCAGCACCCCTCCCCCCTTTCATTCCCCCCCCCCCCCCCCCAACCCCCGCCTCTCCCTCTCTCCCCCCCATTTCCCCCCCTTTCCCCGCCATCCTCCCGTTGTCCCCTTTTTCTGCTGTTGCAGATCCACTGGTTCTCCATCTTCAATTCGTTCATGATGGTCATCTTCCTCACGGGCCTCGTCTCCATGATTCTCATGCGCACGCTGCGCAACGACTACGCCAAGTACGCCCGGGAGGAGGACGACCTTGAGACGCTGGTACGTATCGTGGTTGCGTTGCTACGCGCCGATATCAAGACTGAAGAAGGAAGAATTTCAGGCGTCCTTTGTGAAACGATTACGCCAAGTACCTCAGGGAGGCAGAATTTTCATGAATTGTGGCGTATGGCGTGACAGCGTGAACGATGCGTGCTGTGTTAATGCTGGCACATGTCAGTCTGAATTGACTTGTACCGCGAGCAGTGGTGACGCTTAACCCTCGCTACTCGCTCAGAGTCACAGAAATATAACGTCAGGCGAGCATATGTGCCCTTACGGTTTGTTGCTGGGGGGTATGAGAGATGTGAACGAAGTTGTAGCCCGTGCCAGAACGCCACTGATTTCGATCCGCATTTTCTGCTGCAATTGTTTTTTTCAGGAGAGGGACGTGAGCGAGGAGTCAGGCTGGAAGCTGGTGCACGGAGATGTGTTCCGGCCGCCCCGCAACCTCGTGCTGCTGTCCGCGCTGGTGGGCACGGGCGCGCAGCTGGCGCTGCTGGTGTTCTTCGTCATCATCATCGCCATCGTGGGCATGCTCTATGTGGGCCGAGGCACCATTGCCACTGCCTTCATCATCTGCTACGCGCTCACGTCCTTTGTTGGCGGATATGTCAGCGGCGGATTCTACTCCAGAAACGCAGGTATTGTAGGGCTATCGAGTTTATGCGAAAGGCGGGTTTTACTTAAAACACAGCGGTAGTGTAGTTGCCGATTTAGGTCACGACACGGTGGTACTGAGGGAATGGCTGCTGTGCGGGTGCCGCCCTAGCTCTGAACGCGTGATCATGATCGCGATCGTTGACAGTCGGCCGATGCAACATCTGCTACGCGCTCACATCCTTCGTTGGCGTATACGTCAGCTGCAAATGTTACCCCAGAAATGCAGTTATAATGATAGATACACATACGACGTTAATATAGCAAATGGTCGCAGTTGGGGTCAATTGACTGTCATGGCGTGGCGTATGTGAGGAATTGCTGCAGTTCCAAGTACAGCTGTAGGACAGGGAGAGTGTTAACTTCGTATGCAACCATAATCCGGAGTACGGATTTAGGCAGTGTACAAGTCAAATCAGGATACCCCTTCACCTGGGTTAGGACTTTGGCAGGGTTACCACATCATTGGGTGCAGAAGCGTAGCGGGCTTATCGCCTTATGTTGTGTCCGGATTTGCCTAGCAGATGGATCATACAGGGCTGAATGGCAGCAGTGTAGGGTTGGGTGGTGTTTTAGGGTTGTCGGAGGCACAGCGTGATGTGCTCTAGGAGATCGTTCAGTGTCAACGGTCAGGTTTGGTTGGTTGGTGTATATGGTTGTTGGAGGCGCTGCGAGGAGTAGGACAGTCAAGGTGACGCATTTTAGGGTTAACGGTTTCAGACACTGCTCGTTCAGAATCTCACTGTAATTCTGCTGGCTTCATTTCTCCCTTGTCGTTTGTGCCATTGTCCCGGTGCAGGGAAGCACTGGATCAAGGCCATGCTGTTGACGGCGTCGCTATTCCCCTTCACGTGCTTCGGCATCGGCTTCATTCTCAACACCGTTGCCATTGTCTACCACTCGCTCGCTGCCATTCCCTTCGGCACAATGGTCAGTGCTGTTGCTGTCATCCCCATTTTCATTCGCATTCCCGTTGGCGTTCCCATTCCCATTCCCGTTCCCCAGTCCACGTTCCCATTCCCAACTCCCATTCCCATCCCCATTTGCCCCGATCCCACTCTGAGCAACACTGCTCCAGCCATGTGTAGTATGTGGTCTTGATATCATTCCCATTGCCCATCCCTCTTTCCCCCTCTCTCCACCCATCCCCCACACCCTTCTCTCCCACTCCGTCCGCTTCTCTTCTGTCCGTGTGAACGTTTACATCTATGCCCCTGGGATCCAGTTCCGTTCACCCCGTGCTGTTTCTATGCATACTACACAGTTTTTTTTTCATTTATGTGCTTAGCTCTCCTCTTCAATCCCCTAACCCCCTACCACCATCATGGTACGCAAGTGGAGCGGCACCCCCGACAATCCCTGCTTGCTCATGCTGTCCTTCTCCCTTCCTTTCTCGCCCCTTCCCTCCCCTGTTCGGCTCTCCCCTCTGTCCCCCCTTCCACCTGGTCCCGTCCCCCTTCCCCTACCAACACTCCACGGTTCTTCAGGTGGTAGTGCTGGTGATCTGGGCGTTCATCTCCTTCCCCCTCGCCACGCTCGGCACCATTGTGGGGCGCAACTGGAGCGGCACGCCTGACAACCCGTGCCGCGTGAAGACCATCCCGCGGCCCATCCCGGTGAAGAAGTGGTACCTGACGCCGTGGGTGGTGTCGCTCATGGGCGGGCTGCTGCCCTTCGGATCCATCTTCATTGAGATGTACTTCATCTTCACCTCCTTCTGGAACTACAAGGTGCGCCCGCCACCACCTCTTGGTCTAGTCAATGGGTGTGTGTGATCGCAGGGACTGAGGAGAATGGGTGTGGCTGTAGGGATTGTGTGCGCCTGTAGGGAAGGGCGTGACTGTGGGGAGTGGGAGTGGGGAGTGGGAGTGAGTGAGGGCACTGAGTGGTGTGAGAGCAGCTTGTGGCGCTGGATGCCCATCCCGGTGAAGAAGTGGTACGTGACGCCGTGGGTGGTGTCGCTCATGGGCGGGCTGCTGCCCTTCAGGTCCATCTTTATTGAGATGTACTTCATCTTCACCTCCTGGAACTACAAGGTGGCCCCCCCACTGGGTGTGACTGTAGCGAATGAAGGGCCACTGCAGGGAATGGGTGTGGCTGTATGGAATGAGTGTGCTTGTTGCACATACAAAGACAGTGAACATTAGAAAGTAATGAGGTTATTTGTGGTTGAAAACATGATATGAGCTCCCTTAAGGAAGGCCACCAATTCCTGAATCATAGCTCAGCTCTTCACACCCCACCCACCCACCCCCCCCCCCCAACCCCCTCCTTTCCCCCCTGTCCACCCCAGCCACACTCATCCCTGGTCATTATATCTTTCAACCCTCCCTTCGCCCCCTCACTTCCCGACCTTCCCTTTACGAATTGCCTCATCAAGGACCCCCGCATTGCCTTCTTAGCCTTGTGCTAATGCAAATGCCGCCCCTTCCCCCACACCACCACCCCCTCTCTGCCCCTCCCTCTCCCCACTCCTCCTCCTTTCTCGACTCCCTTGCTTCCATTCTCCCCCATCCTTCCTCCCCTCCCTTTCTCCCCTCCCTTCCCCCTCAGGTGTACTACGTGTACGGGTTCATGCTGCTGGTGTTCCTCATCCTCGTTATAGTCACAGTGTGCGTCACTATAGTGGGCACCTACTTCCTGCTGAACGCCGAGAACTACCACTGGCAGTGGACGGCCTTCTTCTCAGCCGCCTCCACCTGCATCTACGTCTACTTCTACTCCATCTACTACTACTTCATCAAAACCAAAATGACCGGGTTTTTCCAAACCACGTTCTACTTCGGATACACCCTCATGTTCTGCCTGGGACTCGGCATTCTGTGTGGTATGTGCACTCTTGAACCTTAAGATTCCCACCCTTCTCCCACCTGCATCCACGTCTATTTCTACTCCATCTATTACCGCTTTATCTACGTGGATTTTTTCAAGCCACCTTTTATTCGCATCAAACATCACATGTTGCTGCATGGTAACCCTGTTACGTTCTTAGGAACTCTCAAAAGTGTTGCCATGCAAGTTGACTTTTGAGTCGACTCAAAAGAAGTGTTGCCGTGCATCATCTTCCCTCAACCCTTTCAGTCTCGAAACCCCCTCCACTTGCACCCCATCCATAATTGCCTTTCCATGCACCTGCAAGATTGACTTTCCCATCTAACCCCCTTCGTCTATCCCACACCCCCTCCCAATTCCCTTCTCTGCCCTTCGCTTTCCTCACACTTACTCTGGTTGGCTTCTCAATCAACCAGGTGCCTGTATTGCACACTACACTACACCCCCTTCATCCATCCCACACTCCTCCCTTCCTCCCTCCAACATTTTCCCTCCCCCTCCCCTTCACTAACCTCCCTGCACAGCTGCCATTTGTCACCTGGGCTCATATGTACCGCCACATCAAGTGTGACTGAGAGCTATACGAGTGACCAGATTTCTCGTTTACCCCTCGTCCCATCCCACCCCATCCAACACTCCCCCCTGCCTTCCTCATCTTCCCTTTCCCACCCGTTCACCAACCAACCACTGCAGGTGCCATTGGCTACTTGGGATCGTCCATGTTTGTCCGGCGTATCTATCGCAACATCAAGTGTGACTGAGAGCGATGCAAATGACTGGGTTACAGTGACTGAGTAGCATGGCATGAGCATACGCATGCATGGACTCCAGCCGCCGCTGGCAGCACGGACAGCATGTGCATGCGCCCTGTTCTTGCTCGTGCATGCCCTGGTGCTCTCTGGGTTGCTACAAGATGATGCGCTAAGTGTAGAAGTAGCTGGTACACTGGATCATGCAAGCACGGCAAAAGCGGTGGCAGACGGTTTAATATTCTCGTTTTCTGGAGTTGGGTTTTCATAGGCTTCTGTGCTTGTGCTGCAAGATAATTCTCCTCCCCTTTTCTCTCACGTAGGGTACTGCAGATTTAGTGAATATTCATTTCTAACAAGGGTACTGTTACTTGCAGGGACCAATATGGTACCATATGAACGCCTGTAGCCGATGCATTTTTTTCCTTGTGGCTGGTGAGAAAAATCAAGTCAGCAATGGTAGTGTAACAGCAGTGATGTTGAAAATAGTAACATAACCATCCCTAACACAAGCAACTTTGACTGGCACTGCAGCAGCGGGTATGTCCACACCAGCTTTCATCACACATCCGTGTGCAACTGCTGTTGGGTCATAGCCGCTTGCAGCAGCTGCTTCATCCACACCTGCTTCCACTAAACCTGTGCGTTGTGCTGCACTGCTTTCCTCCACTGAACCAGCACAAGAGTGTTCCAGAAGCCGTTTCAAGTCCGATAAGGATGGGAAGGGTGTGCTGTTAGTGGGAGACAGGGATGGAGCAAGGAGGGCGTCTTTGAAAAATCTCAATTTCACCCTGCAACAGTATGGGAAGGGTGAGCTGCAAGTGGGAGACAGGGATGGTGCAGGGAGGAAAAAAATGCGCGAGGATGGAAAGCTGCTGCTGCTGCTGAGGGTGACCATGACCTTCAAAGATTTGGTGTTGGTGAGATAATGATGTGTGGGTATGGGAAGCTAAGGAGTAGAGAGGAAAAGTGGAAACATCACACATGCACCTGGGGAGAGGAGTGAGATCAATCCGAAATTTGCATCTATGGCAGATATATGGCATACGAGTGCCGATGGGGAGAAGGGAAGAGGTGGACAGGGGGGGAAGAGGGGAGGAGGAGGGGGAGAAAGAGGGAGAGAGGGAACGGGAGAGTGCTCACCTCGAGTCGACAACAGAGAGCAGGAAGTCCGGAGGGCCAGGCAGGGACTTTCTGAACCTTGCATTGGGGTAGTAGACATCCCGAACATGGGCTTTAGCCCCTCCTCTGGAATGCTCACCTTGAGGGAGAGAAAGCCCACCGTGCGAGAGGGAAAGAGCTCACCTGAAGTCGACAACAGAGAGCAGGAAGTCCGGAGGGCCTGGCAGGGACTTTCATTTTGAGACGTCACGTGAAAGTGAAGTTGTTTCGAAGGTCTCAAGAGCTCACCCTGAGTCGACAACAGAGAGCAGGAAGTCCGGAGGGCCAGGCAGGGACTTTTTGAACCGTGCATTGGGGTAGTAGACATCGAACATGGGCTTTAATCCTTCATCTTGAATTTCCGCTCCTTCAAATGGTTTAGCAGCCTCAGCTCTACACGTATTTCTCTGCTCCTCCTGTTTCACTCCTCCGCACCGTTCCGTGTCCTTTTCCTCATCCCCTCTCCCACACAAATCTGAACCCTCCATTGGTTTTTCTCTGGCTGCCGAGCCTGCTGGCCCGGTTCGGGTCCAGGGGACGCCGTGCCGAGCCAGAATGAACCCGAGCCTGCGCAGGTGTGCGTAGGCTAGGTAGGCGTTGAGGGAACAGCCGAGGGCAGGAGAGTGCAGACCGTGGTAGAGGGTTTGGATGGGGACGGGGCAGCCGGATGGGGAGAGGAGAAGCAGAGAGCCTTTCTCCATCAGGAACCTGTAAGTATGGGGGAGATGGGGCAAGGAGAGGAGGAGTTGAGGAGAAGAGGAGAGGGGAGTGAAGGGCGTGGTAGAGGGTTTGGATGGGGACGGGGCAGCCGGATGGGGAGAGGAGAAGCAGAGAGCCTTTCTCCATCAGGAACCTGTAAGTATGGGGGAGATGGGGCAAGGAGAGGAGGAGTTGAGGAGAAGAGGAGAGGGGAGTGAAGGGCGTGGTAGAGGGTTTGGATGGGGACGGGGCAGCCGGATGGGGAGAGGAGAAGCAGAGAGCCTTTCTCCATCAGGAACCTGTAAGTATGGGGGAGATGGGGCAAGGAGAGGAGGAGTTGAGGAGAAGAGGAGAGGGGAGTGAAGGGCGTGGTAGAGGGTTTGGATGGGGACGGGGCAGCCGGATGGGGAGAGGAGAAGCAGAGAGCCTTTCTCCATCAGGAACCTGTAAGTATGGGGGAGATGGGGCAAGGAGAGGAGGAGTTGAGGAGAAGAGGAGAGGGGAGTGAAGGGCGTGGTAGAGGGTTTGGATGGGGACGGGGCAGCCGGATGGGGAGAGGAGAAGCAGAGAGCCTTTTTCCATAAGAAACCTGAGGTGAAGGGGGGTTGTTTGGGAAATGGGGATGGGGGTGGGGTGGGGTGGTGGAAAGTGGGTGCAAGGGGGGAAAAGGAAGGGAGGGGGAGAGAGAGGTGAGCAGCGGAGGATAGGGGGGTGAAGGGCTCTAGATTACTTCTGAGAATTCTCAAAAGTAACACCAATTTAGCGGAGGATAGGGGGCGCAGGGCGTGATACAGGCTCTAGATGGGATTGCAAGCGGCAAGACGTAGGAGAGAGGTGGCGGAGAATCCTTTAAATGACAACCCTTACTATGAGAAAGCACCTCACAAGGAAGTGCTTAGTTAAAGCGCCTTGCAGTGCTTCCTCTATGTGGCAAAAGGAACGATAATGCCTCACAATCCCCCTGCTGCCCCACCACTTGCCCCTCTTATAGCTTAGAGCTGTCATGCGGTTCAATTGAAATCAGCTGGTTTCAAAAACTCCCTCCACCACTTGCCCCTCTTATAGCTTAGAGCTGACTTTTGAGTCGACTCAAAAGTCACCTCAAAAACTCCCTCCACCACTCGCCCCTCTTATAGCTTAGAGCTGTCATGCGTTTTATGAATAAATAGCCGTTAGGGAGGCGCCTTACAGTGCTTCCCCAATGTGGCAGAAGAGCCGTTGGTGTCGGACAATCCCCGTGCCGCCCCACATGCCACATGATCGTCTTTCAACTCACGGCGCTAATCAGGAGTGAAAACCTTACAGTGCCTCTTCAATGTGGCAGAAGAGCAGATGCTGCCGGACAATCCCCGTGCTGCCCCGCCACTTGCCCCGCCACTTGCCCCGCCACTTCCGGCCTCATACCTTGGAGCTGACATACTTTACATTGACTTACAGTGCCTCTTCAATGTGCAAGAAGAGCCGCTGCTGCCGGACAACCCCCGTGCTGCCCCACCACTTGCCGCGCTGCAACAGCACCACCTATACCTCAAGGGGAAGATGATCTTTCAACTCACAGCGCTAATCAGGAATTAAAGCCTTACAGTGCCTCTTCAATGTGCAAGAAGAGTCGTTGCTGCCGGACCACCCCCGTGCTGCCCCACCACTTGCCGCGCTGCAAGCCTACAAGCCTACAAGCCTATGAAGTGTCTTACACTGCCTCTTCAGCATGCAAGAAGAGCCGTTGCTGCCGGACAATGCCCGTGCTGCCCCACCACTTGCCGCGCTGCAACAGCACCTCTGCCACACACACTGAGGGGGTGGCTGTCGCGCAGAGAGAGGGGTTGTGGGTGGTGGGGTGGTGGTGATGCTCCCTGTCAGCATCCTCATGCTCCGGGCTGGAGATTTTCTGCCTCGCCTCAGAGTGGTGATGCTCCCTGCTCTGCCTTGCCTCAAAGCACCCGTTTGCTATCCCCTGCGCGATGGATGCTTCTTTTCTGCACGCATACATGCAAAAATACATGCCACATGCGACGTGTCACATGCCACGTGGATATGCACAGAACAAGGGACGAATGGAAGCAAAAACGGTTGGGGTAAGATGAAGATGAACGCCCATGCACTCAAGAGTGATGCCCTGCCCATCGACATGGATTTTCAAAAGTTGCATCCGACTCTGTTGTTTTCACCTGAGAACCACCCTGGGCTGTCTCAGGTGCCGGTACAGTTCCTCCAGCTGCTGCCTCCCCATCCCTTCCTCCTCTTCTTCCTCCTCCACATCCCCCTCCCCTCTCCCGTTTCCCCCCTTCCCCTTGCCTTTTCCCCCCTCCAATACCCCCAGTAGCGCTGCCCCCACAGCATTACCCCCACCTCCGCTTAATCTTCCCGCTTCCCCAGATCCGCCCTCCCCCACCTGATCCCCTCCTTTTCCGTTCCCCGCATCCTCCCCAGCTCCTCCCCCTGTCCGCGCAAATGCTTCCGCCTTTCCCCCTTTGCGGAACAAAATCCGCCTTCTCTCCTCCGCCAATACCTCCTCTTCCTTCTTCCCCTCACCCCCCAAACCCTCAACCCGCCGCCGCTCAATTTCCCCCACTACCTCTCCTCCTTCTCCGCTGCGCGCATCCCCACTACTCCCCCCTCCCCCCGGCGCTCCGCCTCCGCCATTCCCCTCCCGCTGGGCACCCGCCTCATTAACGCGCTCCCCTTTCGGCCCCCCTTCCGCCCCCCCTTCCGCCCCCCCTTCCGCCCGCCCTTCCGCTCCCCCCTCCGTAACCGCACGTGCAACGTTCAAACCCTCCCCCTTCGCCGCCATCGCACAACTATAGCTCTTCGCCTCACGGGAACAAAAACCGCGCTGCTTATAGCGAGCAGCCAATGCGTGTAACAGGTGTACAAAAGTGCACCGAAGAGCGCGCGTATACGACAAGCGAATCCCCAGGCGTTGATGACGTGTCTGCGAGAGGCATTATTTTATTTACTTCGAAATTACCCATGTCTCCGGCGCTAACAATTTGTCAATTTATGGGGAAATGCCTATCTGTGTCCCATCTGGCAATGTATAAGGGCGACGTCAGGTTATACATTTCTCGTGGGTTTACAGTTCTTGTATCGTGGTTCAAGACGTTCCAAAATGGTGGAAAGCGGTTCTTGACGTTTATTACTTTGCACCGTGTTGAAACGAAGTTAACCGTAGTGGGCGTACAAAAAGTTGTACAACCTGACGTCGCCCTAAGAATTTGGGCCAGCAGGGTGTCGAACTTGGGTCTGCAGCTTGAACGATGGCGGGGGGTCGTCGCGAAGGCTTCGCAAACACAGACCCGCGCGAGCGAAACGCCGTGCGAGGGTAGCGTGTTCGCTTCGCTTTCCCCGCAACCGAACCGTTACTCGAAATGAACAGAGCTTTTAGGGTTACCCGAAAAGCCCGAGCTTCATCTCCTAGGCACCTTGGGATTACCTCCTCGCCTCAACACTTCCTGCTTTCCTCACGACCATTACAAGCTGGTTCTAGAATCTAGTTGCTTCCTCCCAGCCATAGCTACTCCTGTCAACAGCGAGTATTTCTCGTGTCGCTGTTCCAAGTCTAGAGACTTTCGCCAGTGCAAGTTTCCGTAGCCTTGTCTTGCTGGTTGATCAAGCTTTTTTCTCGGAACAATCATCTTATATAGTAAATCTAGAGCCCACCTCCTAACCAAAGTGAAGCATCGCTTCGTCGCCTGCTTGCGTTACGATGTTCTTGATGGGATATTAAGTAGCCGCAGCAATCGTACAGATATATTATCGCCATGATCGGCGCTCCGTGTCTCGAGCACCGTATCCACGAGGCGTTCGACAACACCGCGAATCTGCTGCTATCCTCGCTATAGAGTCCCTCGTCTTAAATATAGAGCCCACGAGGCGTTTTTATTGCTATTACTCGACTTGCAGTTACGCGACGCGTTTCTCGTCCCCGTATTCTGAGGCTTGCAGCTTAAAAAACTTCGCACCGCAGCGGGCTGCTGCAACGGACGTCACGGGGCTCCGGCACCGCATCCACGAGGCGTACTAGAGCACGGCGGAGCAGCTGCTATCCTTGCTGTAGAGTTCTTCGTCATAGGCATAGATTTTACTAGGCGTTTCTCTTCTTTTAGTCAACGCAGAATACACGACACGTTCCTCGTTTCCGCACCTCGCAACGATGGACGTCACGGGGCTGCGGCACCGCATCCACGAGGCGTATAAGAGCACTGCGGAGATGCTGCTATCGGCGCGCAGCGCCACGGCCTTCGCGGAGAAAGGCGTCCTCACGCCGGACGAATTCGTCGCCGCTGGGGATAATCTGGTGGCCAAGTGTCCCACGTGGTCCTGGTGAGACAGTGTGACATGACACGTGTCTAAGTCCTTCATTTCGTGAATGCGTTCGCAGTTCCACCCCTTCGCGGAGAAAGGCATCCTCACGCCGGACGAATTCGTGGCTGCTGGAGATAATATGGTGGCCAAATGTCCCACGTGGTCCTGGTGAGATGCACTGACATGACACGTGTCTAAGTCTTTCATTTCGTGGAAACTTCCGCAGTCCCACAGCTTTGCGGAGAAAGGCACTTGGTGGCCAAATGTCCCATGTGGTCCTGGCGAGATGCCTTGTCATCTGATTCGCAGGCGACTTGATTTTTGAGTCGACTCAAAAATCAACTTTTTTTTACAAAAATTGAACCCAGTTGCTGCCACGTAAAGACTATGGCTCCCGTCTGGGGTTCCATCAGATTCGCAGGCGACAATCTGGAGGCTAAGAATCCCGCTTGAGCTTATCTGACGTGGCGATTGAGGTTGCCGATTCGCTGGCTCCCCGATTCGCTGATTTGCTGATTTTATGAATCACTGAAATTTCCTTTGGTGTTTTCCCGCTCTCAATCAATATCTGTCAGGGAAGGAGCCGACCCCTCTCGACGACGAAGCTTCCTGCCTGCCGACAAGCAGTACCTCATCACTCGCAATGGTAGGCTCTTACTCATCACTCGGTGTGACAGCACCGACTTACATCCCTGAAATGTGACTCTCTTAGCTGTTTCCTGTCACCTGCCAAGCAGTATAATATCACTTGACATTGACTTCTATGATCCCCAACTTTTGGGCTCCAAAAATGATCGGGTGCCTCTGATCACTTGCTATGGTGGGGCACTCCGCCTTACACGCAGTGCCCTGACCACACCATAGCAAGTGTGCCGATGTGTTCAGGAGATGCTCTCACCACACATCCCTCCCTCCCTCCCCATCTCCCCTCTGCCCTTTGCTCTTTCCCTCATCTCTCCTTTCAACTTCGCGACTTTACAGTCCCCTGTCTGAGGCGAGTGGGGGCGATGGAGGAGGAGGTGCTGCTGGCGACAGGTGGCAGCGAGACATTGGTTGACGCTGACGTGGATGGGGAGGACCACGAGCCCTGGGTTGCCACGTCGAAGCTCGGCGGTGCTTGTAAGCTTGACTTGCACGATAGCCTTGACTCGACTGACGAGCTTGACTGCCTTCACTGTCTTGACTGGCAATAATACATTGACTTCTTTGACTCGCTTGACTATTGTGGTTGGCATGACTGCATTGACTGCACTGCTCGACTGACTGGCTTGACTGCCGTGATTGGCATGATACATTGACTGCCTTGACTGCCTTGACTGTCTTGACTGCCTTGACTGTCTTGACTGCCTTGACTGTCTTGACTGCCTTGACTGTCTTGACTGCCTTGACTGCATTGACTGCCTGGCTCTCTCCTCACGTCACTTCTGCTCGCCTCTCCCATTCCTCCATTCAGCCTCAGCAGCAGCAGGTGCGGGTTCGGCACAGCAGGAGTCCCTTCCCTCCATCGAGGCAGCAGCACCCCCAGCAGCAGGAGGAGCAGGGGAGGGTGGGGGAGCGGGAGCAGGGGAGAGAAGGGCTGGAGGAGCAGCGGCGGGAGATGAAGAGGAGGAGGACGATGTACCCGATATAGCGGAATTCGATGATCTGGATAATGTGCTCGATGCGGACCCTGTGAGTGGCCATGGATGTGTGCGTGCTTCTCTATGCGTCCCGCGCTGGTTCTAGCTTGATTCTTTGCATCACCCCACTCCTCTCCTCTCAGAGCCTCATAAGGAGTACCATCACCTTGTTAACCTTGTTCATACCAATGGTCTTTCATGCCTCCGCTACAGGCGGTGCTACAGCTGGGGGGGAGGGGGTATTTGATGGCATCAGAGCCAGAGGATTATTTTAATCTGCAGACTCGTGCTGACCCATGTTCTCTCCACCAATCCCCCCCTCCCGTCCACCGATTATCGACACATCAACTGGTGTGCTACAGGCGGCGCTACAGCTGGGGGGAGGGGGGTACCTGGTGGCAACAGAGCCAGAGGACGACCACATTCTGCAGACTCGCACTTACGACCTCACAATCACGTGCGCTCACTAACGCATTCTCTTTCACTGTTGCCTCACGTTTTAGAGTCGTCTCAAAACAAGGCTCACTAACGCATAGTCTTTCACTGTTGCTACACAATCACATGTGCCCACACACTTACTGATTTTGTAAAATTTCTCTGCAGGCATTCTGCACACATGCACCTACAATCTCACCATACGTGTGTGCTCATTCATTCCCTTTCACTCCCGCACTTTGCACCGCACACATTTTCAAGAGTGGCTTTGTTTCATCATATCCTCCTCTTGCTCCCTCCCGTTCCATGTGTGCTTGAAACCCCACCCAGATACGACAAGTACTACCAGACTCCAAGAATCTGGCTCTTTGGTTATGATGAGGTAAGCTGAGCTTTGATGGCTTGGTGAAAGTATTTTTTTCTGAAATGTCTTAACTCAACCATTCATTTCGTGCGGTTATAGCGAGGATGTGATGATGTGAGCCCTGTTCCCTTCTCCCGTTTCCCCTTTCCTTGCCTATCCTGCCCCCTTCCCCCTTCTTTCTCCTGCCATTCCCATTGTTCCCATCACTGCAGCAACGGCAACCCCTGGCAGCAGAGCGAGTGTTTGAGGATGTGAGCCAAGACCATGTCAAGAAGACGGTGAGTGTGACTATAATGGGTTGATGGTAACGGTGAGCTTGGTGAGAAGGGAGTGAGGTTGGGCAGTGCGTGTGTGTGATGGCCAGACCAACATCCCTTTTCTGTAGTTTCTTAAATTCATTAAGGAGCATGGCCTATCCACGCAATCAGGACATGTGACCCCGCTGCATGCTATCTGTTGATGCATGGTGCAATATGAATTTGATGTGATCTGACGCATGCCTGTTTCGCTGCATGCAGGTTACCATTGACGACCATCCGCACCTTCCAGGAAAGTATGCATCGGTGCACCCATGCAAGCATGCAGCGGTGATGAAGAAGATCATTGGAATCATGGCAGCCAATGGCGTGCAGCCACGTGTCGACCAGTATGTGCCCCTCACTCCTTTCATTCGTCTGTTTCCTTATGCATCCACCCTCGTCTTCATTCTAGCATGCGCCATCGTAACGAGGTGACTTTTGAGTCGACTCAAAAGTCACTTCCTTCTGCATCCACCGTCGTGTTATCATATTCCCCATTTTAGCATGCGCTTCGCCAGTTCATTTGTGGCAATTCAGTGTTGAAGCTTCATTGGTCTTGAGCATTTGTGTTATGCTGTTTGCAGGTACCTTTTCATATTCCTTAAGTTCATCTCGTCGCTGGTGCCTACTATCGAGTATGACTACACCATTGATTTCGATATGGGTGGTACACTGGGCGCACATGAGGACGACGGCGAGGGAAGTGATGATGAGAACCACAAGTCTAGCGGTAATGGGAGAGACCATGCTAGTGAAATAGAGGAAGGTGTAAAAGCAGCTACAATCACGGAGGTTAGTGGTGGGAATGGGGAGACAGGGGACACAGTAAGATAAAGAGTGGGTTATTCTTGCAAGCAACTACTGCATGTATTAGGTGGAGGACACGAAGTGTGGTGGGTGCTGAATGAGGTGTTGTATTACAGATGATGATTCTAGAATTTCATTTGTGTTGGCCGTTGCTTGGTGGGATGTACAAGCGCTACACTCCTATTCGCCAACGCGTTCGTCACTGTTCGGAGCAGCTTGTAGTGTGCTCATTCCAACATGGACTCCTAGCAACCCCACGCGTCCACAATGCAGCACTATGCCATCTTCGCCAGCTATTTCTTGCAAATTCGCATTTCTTCAAAACCCAACGCCAGCTGGAGCACAGGGGCGAATTAGTTGGAATGGCGGAAATTGCGTAAACACAGGGTGTTCTATCGTAGAGTAGACTATCCGTGCCCTGTGACTGGAGCCGCCTTCCTTTCTTGAACCGTCTACGGGTGCGGCATGGTATGTCGTGAATGGAGCATCAGCGAATGCGGGCGATTTTAGCGGTCGCGTTTTAGCGAGTCTGCAATTGCGATGTCTACGAGGCATGTACGTCAGGTTCCAGGCGCCGCCGTGAAACCCTTCGCTAGGTGCTTCTTGGCCTCAGCATGACAAGTTTTGCCGACGGAAATTCGCGTCGATCTGACGCGGTGCTGCTCTCTTCCGAGTCATGATGTGCTTGCTCGCGACGCCTCAACTCGAAATTGACGGATTCCCATTGAGTCGGCTTGTCGCGAGCATCGCGGCTCCGAATAGTTGTGGCGGCTCGAAATCAGCTTGCTGTCGAACACGTCCTTACGTACGTTTACTCGCACTACATAACCGCACTCATCCCGAATTGCCTAATCATTCGCACCTGTTGAGTCTTCTTTCCGATCTCAACCTTCCTCAACTTTCTCGAATCTCCGACGATTCAGTTTCCAACCTCTGATTTGCTCCTCTCCGCCGCAACCCACGCGACCATCATGTCGACCACGAAGGAAAAGCTTGGCGATTTGGGCACGACGGCCAAGGAGAAGGCCAGCGAGGCCAAGGCCAAGGGCGGCGAGATGCTGGGCAAGGGCAAGGCGGAAACCCAGGAGAGCGTCGACAAGGCGAAGCACCCGTTCAGCCACAGCGCGCACGAGGCGGCGGACGCGAAGGAGGCGGCAACTAAGACGAGCGCGGAGATGGGGAAGGAGGAGAAGGTGGCGGGCGCGCAGATGGGCGCGGCGGGGGAGAAGGAGGCGCGCCACCTGAAACACCAGACGGGGCTCTAGAGGGGGAGAGGCAGTCTCCGCGCATGCACGTGGCGTGGGAGGAGGTTGCATGTGGGAGGAGTTTTCCCGTGTACAGCTTTGGGAAGCTTCTACGGCTACTGTGGCTGCTAGGAGCTGGAGATGGCTTCTGGCTGTTTACCTCTGGCACTAGTGCCGGGACGTTTGTTTGCTAGTTTGCTTCCTTATTGAGTAATTACCCTGATATTTCTTTGTATTACCTCTTGCTGGGCAAGCTGCACTGGGCTAGACTTGTCCAGCTCACTGTAGGGTGGAAGTGCGTGCGCCTCTTGTATGGCAGGAGATCGCATGCTCCCTACAGAGGCAGTGGTGGTGTGTCCTCTGCACGGCAGGGATGCACCCCCTGCAAGCAATGGCTGGCATGAGGTGGGACGCCCGCCTTCCCAAGCCATCTACGGTGGTGTGCGAGTGCCCTCTGCACGGCCGATGGGTTTGCACCCACTGTAAAGCTCATGGCTGGCAGTAGGTGGGACGCCTGCCTTGCTAAGCCGCTGGGAGTAGTAATGCTTGTGATTTTTTTTCATTTCGAATATTGGAGTATTGAAGTGAAATATCTCACAATCTTTGTTTCGAAGCTCTCAACAACGATATGATACAGCAATCCACTGCTCCCCTTGCGTCCTTTCCGTTACTGCAGTCCACTCCTAAAGTAATCAAGGAGTGCGGACGTGTTCACGAGCGACTGGTCATGGCGTATCAGCCAGCCGAGTTTGCGGAACACGGTCAAACGAGGAGCGACTCCGAAGGTAGGAACAACTCGATCAATGTTTTGGTGAACGGTGACGCATCTGCGCATGTGGACGCGCGTAACAGCAGCGGGCGGCAATTCGAATACACTAATTGCAACACGTGCGTTTACGAGTGTGACAACGCTGATGACTATAGCGGGGATAGCAGTACCTCAGACGAATACGATGACGTCGGTGAAGTTGACGATGATGACGATATTGGAGACTCTTCTAACGAGGATACAGATCTCGAGGATCTCTACAGAGCGTGGCTCAGCAGTCCGTTGCCCTCCTCCTGGCGCACGCGCCCGCTCAAGCGGGAAACTTCCGCATGTGCAGAGGCGATAACAGAGTCGGCGCAAAGAAGCAGTCTGCTACCCTCCTCCTGGTGCACGCGCCCGCTCAAGCGCGAACTCTCCGCGGAATCCACTCCGCGGGCGGAGCATCAGGGGAGCTTTGCAGCCGCGAAGCGGGTTGAGTCGTCCGCGGAACCCGCTCCCCGAGGAGCAAGTCCGCTCTCAGCGGCTCCCGTTCCGCCAACCCAGGCTAACGCTTCCGCTTCCTCTTGCCCACACGCCCTTCCCTGTCCTCCGCCGGGACCCCCCGCCTCTGCCTCCGTCTTACCCTTCCATTCAAAGGGTGCTACTCTAAACCAGTCACCTGTAGCACCCCCGTTAGTATCACATTGTCTTTCACCAACGGAACTGCTGAATGTCCCGGACGCTCATGAGCCAACAGAGTGGGAGCTTGTGCTTGGGAATACAGATGACAGCACTCAAAGCTCTATCCTGGAAACTGACTATTATTTGACTGTTTCTGAGACTGTTCCTAGGACTAATGATCAGTATACCGCCTCTGTGACTGCTTCTAATGGTCCCTGTGAACGGGGTCCCACATGTTGGAGGTCGGATGTGTGTTCAGCCAGAGGCGGATCAGAGTGGAAATCAGCTGGCGCATGTGGCACAGTCACAGCCAGGCCGGATGGCAAGATGCCTGCTCAAAAGGGAAATGGAGGCAGATTGGAGTGGGAGTTACGTGGCGGGCGGGACGCGGAGGAGGAGTGGGCGGTGGAAGGTGGGGAGGAGGCTAGGGACCGACTGGAATGTGAGCTAATGGGATGTGACGATAACGAGTGGCATGTGGTGGAGAGGAAAGAGGACGGTAGAGAGAGTGGAAGGAGGTTTGAGATGGACTTGGTGCAAATCGCTGTAAAAACCAGTATTACAGAACGGTTCAGTACAAGCAGTGTTCCCTGCTGGGATAAGGAGCGAGCAGGTATGATGTTTGAGTTGACTGAGTGTGCAGATGGGTTTGAAACTGCAACAGGAGCAACACACACTGCATTTCCTCCATCTCCTCCTCCCTTTTTTCCTACCCTTCCCTGTCCGCCTGCTGCTGCTGTTGCTCCTGCTGCTGCAGCTGCTACTGCTACTGCTGCTGTGGCTGCTCCCCCGTTTCTATCTGCTGCTGTTGCTACAGCTGGCAGTGCCTGTCAGAGGTGCAACAAAACAATTTCGGAAAGCAGCAGCAGGAGGATGATCAGGAGGAGTACTTGTTCATGTCAGGCAATGGTGGTGGTGCCTGTATGGGTGCTCTGCTTGCCGCTTGCTGCTCTGCTTGCCTGTGTTGCTGTAAGACATGTTCTCATGCAAAGACAGCAACTGCAGCAGCTTAGGAAAGAGAGAGATCAGTGGAGGGGCGGTTACTTAAGTATGAAGCAAGCACTGATGCTTGCAAGAAGAGAAAAGGTAGTGTCAGTATTCTTCAAATAGCAATTGGCTGTTGTGCATAGTTGTAAGTGAGGTTGCCTCTCCACTTGTACCATATCTGCAATAATCATTAAGGTCTGTTATTTTCCTCAATTTCAAGTGCATGTTCAAGGGGCATTGTGAATCATGCCCTACGATATCAGGAATTTTTCCCTGAAATTCCTGATTTTCAGGGATTTTTTTGTACCTACCCTGATTTTCCAGTGTTCAGCTTTTTGGAGGACTGATTTTTCAGCCCTTAGGGGCCAGATGACTCTGAACTTTCAGGTTTTTGTATTTTTAAGGGACACTGATTACACTACGTTGTAACAAAACTAACACTGAACGTGGCAGCAGCACCTCCAGCAAGAGAGGGGGGGGGGGGGGTGGCAATGGCAAGGGAAAGCAGGCAAATGAGGAGGAGTTGGAAGAACCAGAGACTAACTGCAGTGATGATGATGAGTAAATGAACCCTCTATTGCTGATGCTTGCTAACTAGTTAGTGTTATCTTATTTGAAGTTCAATATCAGCCTTTACAAAAAGGGAACACTGATGCATAAACGTGCCTAAATACTAGACTTTTTAAAAAGGTAACACTGAATTTTCAGGCTTTTTTTTGGGGGGACACTGACAAATGCAGCGCGAGAGCAAGGACACACAACTGACTCGTTACAGAGCAGTTGCCCGAGTCGTCACTGTATCGAACCGCAACAGCAACAGTAAAGTAGTTATAACCGTGTCTCTTCATATTATCTGTATTCATATATAATCTTGTATCTTTTTGCTTTAATTAATTTACTTTGCCCTCACATACTAGCGCAAGGTGGTTCACAAACTCTTTATTAAGACGCTTCCGCTACTACATCAACTCTACCCAGAATTCACCTCTGCAAAGATCCTAAGGGCTTTTTCAGCCCAACATGGTATGAGAGCTATCAGGGGGAATTCAACTTATATACCAACAGTGTCAATCAGCATGGCTACACAAAAGGGAAGGAGCAACTCCAACGGATCCCAAGGCACTACTCCTACTCCACCTCCTGCCTCTGGCCTACAGACAGAGGAGGGCACGGCAACAAGACCCAGAGCAACATCTACTGAGACTCCCGCAAATCATCCTGCGGACTTCGACCAGAGCATGATGGAGAAGTTCTTCTCCTTCATCTCCTTCTACGAGCAACACCAGCAATCGGCACCTGCACAATCACACAACAACAACAACAACGGAGCAACACCCATGAGTCTCGACGGCTCATCGTATGCACGAGGAAATCAGCAACAACAGTCTACCTTTGCTCCGTACGAGCGCGGATCCATCAGCTTCATGCCACACTCACAGCTCTCACCTGGACAAGAAAAACAACTGGACGCACTACAAGTTCAGTCGCAGTTCGCACATGTTCTGAAGATGCAGACGTCAAGACCTTTCGATAGAAAGGATTTCTTCACCTGGTCGTTCGAGTTTGAACTGATGATGGAAGGCGCGCAGATACTCGGGTTCTTCGACGGGTCCCTGCCATACCCAACAAACGGCACACAGTACGAAAAGCAGCAGTACACCTATCAGTCAATGATGGCGTACACGATCCTACTGAGAAATATCACCCCGACTCAACAGCAGAACATAAGGACTTACCGAGGTTACGGTAACTCCGCGGAGCTCGCGTACAACCACCTGAAGAGCCTATATCAAGCAACAGACAGTGTAAGTCAAAGTCGGTTCATGGCACAACTGACAACGGTTGAAATGAAACCAGGGGAGAAAAGAATGGCGTATATCAGTCGATGTCGCGAATTGCGCGACAAGCTTCTTCGATGCGGAGGGTCGATTTCTCAAGACGCCTTCGTGACAGTCATCATCGGCGGCCTCGGTCCTCAATGGCGCGCCACAAAAGCCATCCTCCGAGCTCACGGAAGAATCTCCGAAGCAGCGCTCTGCGCCGAAATCCATGCCGAGCAGCAAGACATGGACCTGCAAGAAGAACGACAAAGAAAGAAGACTTCAGCACCAGAGTTTGCGTTCCACACCCAGCGACGCTACAACAACAACAACAACTGAAGCGAGTACCCCCGTTCTGCCACATCTGCAAAACTTCAGGACACCCGCGCACGCACTGCCCGAATCGTCAACAATCAACAACCCCGCAGCGGCAACTTCGGTCTTCAAGCAGCCAAGTCGCCTCAACGCATACAAATCCTACGACTCAGATTCAAGCTTCAAAGACTTCAACAGGACAACGTGCACAAGGAGCAAGAAACATTGTCAGCTGCATGACAAAGATAACAGACTCCTGCATCACCGAGTCACCACCACACTACTCACCGGAAGTACAACTCGACGAAACCACACCCCGCCGCGAGTCACTTCAGCCGAACCCGACATACGCCGCCATCGCTCAAAGCGAACCGTCTGGAAGGGACACTTGGTTCTTGGATAGTTGCAGCGGACAGCACATGTGTTCCTCAGGACGCTTCGTTCAACGAGAACACCAGCTTCAACGCGAA